CACACACACACACACACACACACACACACACACACACACACACACACACACACACAAAGGGTCTTTACCGGCTGGTTGGGGTTCCAGGGTCCGACATGCTGGGGATCAAACCACGCAGACTTGTTAGGGGGGATATCAGAGGGTCCGCTGGAGTTTTTGGAGTCCTGCGGTCTGGCTGCAGACCCATCAAAGTCCCCTGAAGGCGGGCCGGTCATGGGAGGCTTCACTTCTCCTTCACGCAAAATATTGAAACATAAACCGTGAAAAGCGTTAAACTGTGGTAGAGTCGAAATCTAAAACATTTTAATTTTCAAACATTTTCACTGGATTTAAACACCTCAAGTGTCCCATCTCTCCCTTTCTGTTTTATTTCTATAAGGTCAACATGTTTTCGGACTTTTAAAAAGCGTTCTGCTGTTCTTGATGGGTTTCTTCTCACCAGCTGGTGTGGTCATGGGCGGGGCTTTTTCAGAGTCAGCGGGGGGCGCCGCCTGCCCCACAGGAGCAGGCTGAGACTGCTGCTTCACACTACTGACAAACTCGTCGTGCTGAGTCTTCAAAGCCTGGATCTGCTGCTGGAAGGCCATCTGGATGGGCTGCACCACCGCAGCATACTCTGTTATCAGGGAGGCCTGCGACACAACAGAGGAGAGGTCAAACACTCAGGGGATCAGGGATTAACGAGCACATAAACATGAGGGACAAACATTAGACCAGGGTTCCTACAGCTTAAAACAAGCTAAATTTAAGACTTTTTAAGATCTCTTTAATGCCACTTGAAATTTCTTTTAAGACCAATTTCACAAAAATCCAATACAAAAAAAAAAAACCATCAAAAAGATTGTGAGATGAGATGCTACAATGTTTTTTAAGACCTCTGAAAGATTGATTTAAGACATTTTAAGGCTAATTAAGGTCTTATTTTTGGATTGATGAATTCAATGACTTTTAATGCTTTTTGAGGATCTGCAGGAACCCTGTTAAACACAAGCTGAATTAAATAAATATAACATCTCCAAAGACCAAATCTGTCCTCAGGCTTTTGTCTTTTACCTCCTGAAGTTAGTCTTCTTTAGTATTTAATAAAAATTATTTATAGATGAGAACAATGTGGAACTAACATGGGATCCTCAGAGTGTAAACAAAAACATAATAAAAAAAAGTCCCGATTGTTTCTATTCTAACATTTCTCTCACAAACACAAGAAAACTCCCACACTGGAGCAAGACTGGAGCCATTGTTGCCACTGGAGTGGTTTAATTATGGGATAAGTCCTGACCTGGTACTGGCCAATACCCAGAGCTGGGTTCTGGAGCTGCTGAATGGTCTCCTCATCAAAGTAGCCATTCTTCTCCCAGAGCTGCAACAACTGTGACCACAAGAAACAAGCGTTTAGACCTTTGTTAATAAATCTATGATTACAGGTGTTTATAGTCCCACCATTATAGCTCAGGTGAGACAGAACATAGATGTATTTACCCGCGTGATCTTCTGCTGCTTCTCCTCTTCTACGGCCAGGAAGCTGGTACAGTAGATGGGAACGACGACTTTCTGCAGCGCCATCAACAAATCCTTCTGCTGCTTCCTCTGGCTACGAGTAAACAAAATTACACATCACTTCACAAAAAATAAATCAGTAAACCAAAACATGACACATGAACCATTTTATGACACAACCAAGATTCAACTGTGTGTCGTAGCTTTACTGTAGTTTTACTGAATTATTCATTAAGACTTAGCCTGGCCCTTGCCTTCCTACGCAGCTCCGCTCAATTCTAGTTTCCCTTCACTGCTCTGTCTGGGACTCCTCCCATTGAGATGGATTTCGCTGGCAGATTTTTAGCCGGGCCAATCAGAGAACAGAACGTCAATTTTCTGCTCAGTCTCTGCTTATAGTTTATTTTACCTGGGCCAATCAGAGAACAGAAGGAGGAGTTTTGAACGACGTCGATTTTCTGCGCAGTGTCTGCTAGTTATTTTAGTACACGGCAGTGGAGGAAGTGAATGAAGCCAGTCTGTGTTGATAAGACTTCCAAATTAAAATAAATTTGTCTGACAAAGCAGCAGCTCTCATTTACAGTCGTCTCATTCAGCTCTGTATATTTCTCCTCTCAGTAGGGTTGTTTACAGCACACGCGACTTCCGGTTAGCTTCTTAGCTTAGCCTCTGTCACAGCTACAACACACACATGCTTCAGCAGAGGCCACGCCTCCTGCAAGAAACGATTCTCTATGCATCAAGTCCAGACCCTTGTACGAAGCAAAGTGAAGGATAGGGTTTGGTTTAAACCAGGCTAATTAAGAGAAGAACACCTGAAAGAACGCTGCAAATTCAAACAGCAGTTATTCTTTATCCAAACTAAAATCTGTAAATATTAGTCCAAACTCAAAGATGAAACAGCAAAAACATTCAACTAAAGAGAAGCCTGCCAGAAGGAAAGCTCCTCTATTCCTCTGATGAGTAAGAAGGGTTTGGATACCAGTGATGGAGGACGTCATTCGTTAAGTAGATGAGGTGTAGGCGCAGTTCAAAATGTGCACTATCGGTGGTGATGCGGTTGCGAAGATGTGACGCCATCAGTTCACAGTGCTGTGGAGACTTGGCGTTGGTGAACATCCAGTTCTTCCCAGCCTGAGAGGAGGACACGCACAGATGAGAAGGGACGTGTTTCGTTTTCATCATCATCTAAATCAGGATGTTCACTGCATGCTTACAGAGATGGCGTCTTTTGTGCAGGTGTCAATGATCGGCTGCAGCAGGTTGTCAAACTCTGTGATGTCCAACTGAGTATCCAGCAGCAGCTTCTGGGTCTGCTGCTCCATGGCCAGGGCTATGGCAGCGGTTATCTGTTCCTACGTTCAGGAAAGTTTCAAAAAGAGAAGAAAAACAAAGGAGGTCAAATCTTTTGACTCTTCTTTAGTGAATAAAACCTCTCACATCGATGTGGGCCACTGCCAGCTTGATGCAGTGTCTCAGCTACGCTGCTCTCTATGATGGCAAGAAAAGATCTGATTTTTCAGTGTTGATCAGCTGATCAGACTGAAAAAAACAATCAAAAACTCATTCCTTGGATCCCGTTTAACCCCCCCCTTGGTACCTGTCTGAGTGTGTGCAGGTGCTGCTCCTGTTGCTGCAGATTCCACTGACTCTGCTGGATGAGCTCGTCAAGAGGAGCAGCACCTGGTGGAGCGACTGGAAGCTGACCCATCGTCTGGATTGGAGGAGGAGGGATGTCGACAACATCTTTGGCACCGGGGAGGAACAAATCTACAAAACAAGAAGCAAAACAGCCTGAAGGTTTGTTAAAAACTGAGGGCTTCAGCTGTAAGACTGCAGACACGATGCGCGTCACTGAAGACAATGACGCAGTTTGTCCGTCATGAATAAGACACTCAATGACATCGAGTTTGTATCTGTAAATATTTAAAAGAAAGCTAAAATATTACTTAAGACCAATAAAATCAAGAAATATTGTCCTACTGAAAAGCATGATTATATACTGCAAAGCTGGATTTTTGGGTCTGGTTCGTCTCATGTTCCTCTAGACAGAACCTCAGATTCTCAGTGGGGTTCAGGTCAGACCAGTTTGTTGCCAATCAGGCCCAATGGTACCAGGTCATTAAAGGAGTGCTTCTGTCAGTGTGAGCAGGAGCCAACACTTTTTAGCAACACTGACACAAAATGTGCGACTGAATGTTGTCACTGTGACACACTGGTGAGGACTTACGTGGCTGTTGCTCCAGTGTCAGCCTGCACTTGTAGTAGCTGAAGTATTCTCCCCCAAAGAGAAAGGAGAACTTAGGGTTGTCCTTCTGTTTCTCCATCGTCATCTTCTCGAACTCAGGTCCATTTCGAGCCACAAACTGAGCCAACTTGTCGATCACATTCCTCAGCTCTTGATCTGGAAAGACAAAGGAAGGATTTAATGAAACCACAGCAGTGGTTTGAACTGAAGATGCAGTGATGACAGTTTGTTTGACTGCTTCTAAATGTTTAATCTTTACTAAGCCAGTTTTCATTTTAACCAATTCTGAGTTCTCTCTGAAAACTACGGGGTGTAAAAGTACATGGATTTCTTTAGAAAAGTAGGTTGAAAAAAACTCTAACCAATTAGACGCTTGCACTGTAAAAACAGTTTTAGTTTTTGCCCATATCTGATGTTTTCGACAGTCTGATAGATCTGTTTTTTTTAATCTGACCCAGTCCACTATGGCTATGTCCACACTGCAGATCTGACTTTTTATTTTTGTATGGCGTAGGGACGAAAGTTATGGTGTCTCACATTATGATTTAAATGTTACTCTATCAGAGTCAAGTTTAAACAGCTTTTTTAACCTTTTGACAGTCACTAAAGCACATGCTCAGTATTTTGCAATGCATTGAAGTCTAGATATTCACATCTACTTCTGGTTCTTTTAAATAATATATATGAGACACCAGGCTGGTGTAAGAAACCTAAAGACTACAGAGTTGAATGATGACATTGAATATCAAAAACAGCTGTTTGAAAGCATGTGCTTGATTTTACTCAAGTCCTTTAATATCTGTAAAAAGTTCAATAAAGACCTACAGCATTAACAAAAAGTCTTAAGAACCAAAACAATCATTAGTTGTAGGCAGTCCAGTATTTGATATTATGTCACTATGATCTTACTAAAGGTTTTAAAAATCACCAAGTTTACTTGATTCTTCTTTCAATGTAAAATATTTTATTCCAAGTAGGAAAAGTCTATGTATTGTTTTATTGTATTCTTTTCCAATGTGGTCCAGATGTCAAATAAAACCCCAGTTTAAAATTATTTTTAAGCATTAAAAAAAAACATTAAAAGTTTCACAAACCATGAGCTGACTTTTAATGAGTCTTCTTTGAGTCTAGAAAACATTTTAGCCAAGTTTGAACTGTCTGAGTACTAGTTGTTTTTAAACTAAAAGCTGATCAAAATCAAGACAACTAGATTAAGTGAAACAACACTTTCTTGAAAAGTCAAACCCGCAGCTAACCTCAGTTATGTTCAGAAAACATTAAGATTAAAAAGACAAAAATTACCTCTAGTTCGCTGTTACCATTTTAATTTACATAACTTAAACTGCTTGTTTAAAGGCGCACACATGGAGCTACAGGGTCATAAATACATTTACAAACGTAGCTTCTGTTAGTTCAGGCGTAATAAACAAGGCTAACGTTAGCTTAGCATGATGCCGAACCACAAGGAGGAAAAAGAGCAGGGAAACGTTCACCTTCAGGCGGATTGGGGACATCCATGTTGTGTCGGTGTTACAGCGACACAGTAAGCATCAACTTGTACTGTCAATAAACAGTGAATATTGCTGTATTTCAACAAATGCTTCCTAAAATGTGAATTGATTCGCCCCTGCACTGCACCGGAAGTTCTAGTCTAACAGCGCGAGCCCAACGGAAGAACTTCCGTCAAGTTCTCCTACAGCGCCTCTGGTGGTCAGGACAAACATTACACAGGAGGAACTGCTTTATTAATGCAACCCCAGCTCTGGTGACTGAAATTAACATTTTGTTGACTTTTTATTAAATGTTTAGCAAATCAACAGCAAATAAACACACCCCACACTGGCACATTTTAGTGTAAATGGTTTTAAAAAAGGTTCCTACAGGTGTAAAAGTATTAGACCTGTGTCCTTACTGGGCTTCAGTCCAAAATCCTGCATGTTTGCTTTATTTGGATTTTTGACTTTAGCTGTAAGGCTGTTTGTCTCATTGTTTGCTTTGTGATGGACTGATGACCTTTGACCCACAAACTGTCAACAGCTCAATCTTCTCAAACTGAATTTGTGAAAGCAGAGCTGCAGATGACCATGTGGTCTTAAAAGTGCCTGTGACATGCATATTCTTCAAATACAAAAAGTCAAAGGAAACATCTTTATATTTAAGAAAGTTGGAACAATACACACAATTTTTACCCATTTTGCCCCCTTAACTGGCTTATTTTCTTTTGAACTTGGCTCCACCACAGTGAGACAGGAGGTAATATCAAAGGGGAATTCTTTAACAAAGAAAAATCTCTGGTCTTTGTTTATTGAAACAATTTGAACTCTGACTCTTCTTCATCTCTTTCTGATTGTGACTCAAAATAATAAGAAACATCCGATTGTTCTCTACAGTCTGTGTTGTAGCACTACTCTGTTCACGTTCAGACATTCCCTTTTGACATCACTTCCTGTTACTTCACAGGCAAATATCTCAACTGTTCATCTCAGCGACATGAAATTTAATTTTGCAATATTTCATCAATGTCATCTTTTAAAAATGCATTCATATGTATTACAAAAATTTGACATCACAGGCACTTTAATTAATACAGTTTAGCCTTCTGACCAGTACATCTCGTGGTTAGACAAACTGTCAGTTCCTGCACTATGTTGGTTAAATTTTGGCCTTTGGAAGTTGATGAAAAAGAGACAAATCACTAAAATCGTGGCTTGCTTCTGATCAACCTTACACTGAAAAAATATAGTGACAAACCAAATTTGTAGAACTAAAGCTGATTTTCTAATGGACTGATTATATGCACTCACCGGCCACTTTATTAGATACACCTGTCCAACTGCTTGTTAACACTTAATTTCTAATCAGCCAATCACATGGCGGCAACTCAGTGCATTTAGGCATGTAGACATGGTCAAGACAATCTCCTGCA